AAACAAAATGCCGCCAGTATAAAAGGAGGCGCACACATTAAACGGTCCCACTATGGCGTTGACAAGCCCGAACAATGTTGCCACAGAGTAATGCAAGTGCTGTGGAGAACTAATAAGAGCGCAATAAAAATGCCACGCTTAAAATGTAAAATAGACTAACACAGTTAACGGGCGATTTCCGTAAATGCTGTATTTTCTGCTCCAAGTACGTACTCCGTCTCAGAAAAAAAAACATGCATGATACAAGCCGCGCGAAACCAACATCGACAAAGGAGCACTGCGTTTATGGCCTCGACTTTACTCGAAGTGGCCTAATATGAGATATTGCGTAGGTACCACACGACACAGATCATTAGTGGCACGAGCTGTAACCCGAACGGCGAGTAAGTGAGAAGTTAGGCACTCACCTCCAAGATGCAGACCAGATGAAATAGCAACGCCAGCCGGGTCCCGTTCTGTGTGTGCACCTTGGCCATCAAAAAGGGAAGTTGGGCTAGTGACTAGAGTAGTGACAGCCAACGGATGAGTGACGATGGCGATGCGCCTGCCGCGGTCGGATAGTTGCTCTTTCCGCGTTGCCCGCCTAAACCGCCGTTTGGGAACAAATTGGGAACAAATAAAGTTTTGTAGAATAAAAGCGGTGCAGAACACGTCGCAGCGATGGAGGCAATGATGGTATGCGACGGCCATATTAGTATAAATTTCTTGAGGTCATCCGTAATGCAAGTGATTACTTTCATCGATTTTTCGTTGATGGAGGAGGCACTTATTTTTTGCACTATTCAGTCAAACATTATTGGTAAACCTGTGATGTATTCATAATATTTGAGAAGTGGTGAAGTCTTTGAATATAAACGTATACTATATCTTTGATGTTGGCGAAGGGGGGAAGTGTGTTTATTTCTTGGACACTATGTCCGGTTTTCTGTCCGTAAATACACGTGATTTTTTACAGTGTACGTACAGTGGGAATCAATGATATGCAAAGCACGAATGAGAAATGTTGATATGCCACTTTGAAGTAAGCACAACGTTACGACGTGGAGGTTGATGATGCCTTACATGACTTCCGTGTCATGATTATCATGTTTGGATGCGTCGTTTAATTCGTCTTGCCCCGCCGCGGTGGTCTAGTGGCTAAGGTACTCGGCTGCTGACCCGTAGGTCGCGGGTTCGATTCCCGGCTGCGGCGGCTGCATTTCCGATGGAGGCGGAAATGTTGTAGGCCCGTGTACTCAGATTTGGGTGCACGTTAAAGAACCCCAGGTGGTCAAAATTTCCGGAGCCCTCCACTACGGCGTCTCTCATAATCAAATGGTGGTTTTGGGACGTTAAACCCCACAAATCAATCAATCATTAATTCGTCATCTATTCACGTCATGTGATACCAAATTTAGTTTATGCGAAGCTAGCAAAACGACCATGAGCACACTATGAGCGTGGTATGTTGTTATGTTTTTACATGACACGCTTGTCAGGATTATCATATTTGCACCAGTCCTATATTTCGTCATTCATTGACGTCACGTAACACCAAATTTGGTATATGCGGTGTTAGCAAAACGGCCACGAGCGCATCATGAAGGGCCCAATATACTCCAATGCAGCGTTGACGCGCGCGCACGCTGGGCACAGTGACGCTACCTTAGCAAGACGCGAGCATACTATAGTTTGACGCCAGGCGCGACCAGCGTCCGCCGGCGCGGCCCGACGGCAACCGGCACGAAATGCGACATGCTGCGTTTCGCGCCGGTCCTTTACCCAGACAACACAGCGTCTCCGTCTTTGCGATGGAGAGACGCCAGACGCGCTGAAATGCGCATGCGTCAAAGCAATGCAGCGCGGCGCGTGCCTACGAGTATATGGCAGGACCGGCGCTGGCATGGGAACGCTGGCGTGCTGCGACGAAATGAACGCCAGCGTGCATGCGCACCACGTCATGTCAAAATGTATTGACGCATTGACTGTGGCATGTAGTCATGCTCTCACATAGCATGCATCTCATGAATATCGTGTTTGCACCAGTCACATACCTTCGTCATCCATTCGCGTTACGTAACTAGCCCAACTTTCAGTCTTGCGTCGCGTAATACCAAATTTGTCATATGTGAAGCTAGCGAAACGGCCGCGAGCACATCATCAGTGTGGCATCTAGACATGTTGTTACATGACACGCATGTCGTGATTATCATGTTTGGATGAGTCGTTTACCTTTGTCGTCTGTTCGCGTCACGTGATAGCGAGTTCGGTACATGTGAAGCTAGCGAAACAGCCACGAGCGCATCATAGGCGTAGCATGTAGTCATGTTGTTACATGACATGAATCTCATGTTTATCATCGCTGCACCAGTATCATGCCTTCGTAGTCCATGCATGTCTTATACTACGAAATTTATTAAAAATAAAGCCAGTGAAACGGCCGCCGGCGCCTCATGAGCGTGGCATGTAGTCATGTTGTCACATGACACACAACTTATGATTATAACGTTTCCACCAGTCACGTACCTTCATCATTCATTCACGTACTGTAAATCAAATTTTGTATATGTGATGCTAGCGAAACATCCACCAACGCATCATGAGTGTGGTATGTAGTCATGTTGTTACATGAGAGCATGTTGTGATTTTCATGTTAGGGTCTATCGCTTGTGTTTTCTATGCAATCACGTCATACCATACAAGTTTTGCAACATGTCATGTGAATGAAACCACCGCGAGAGCTGCAGGACCATGACATGTAAATCGTGACATTCATGACATACATATCCTCACTTTCATGTTGTGACTAATCAAACATGTTGATGATACAGTCATGTTAAGCCATACCAAGTTTGGTACCGATACCATTATCGGAACGGCCAGGAGAGCTAAAAGTAGTCGGCGACTAGATAGATAGATAGATAGATAGATAGATAGATAGATAGATAGATAGATAGATAGATAGATAGATAGATAGATAGATAGATAGATAGATAGATAGATAGATAGATACGCTCAAAGTGGCCGAAGTTCGCTAAGAAACGCTACGCATTTAAAAATCGGGTACCACTTGGAGCTGCAATAAGCCCGTTTCTTCCAAGTCATTCTTCATCATGACATTGGTAATACAAAGGGATAAAATCAAGAATAGACCAGTGGTCTCAAATAGCAATTTTATGTCGACCAGTTTGTGTCTAGGGCAAAACCGTCCAAGCAAGTTTGCTCATCTGGAAAAATGCAATCAATAGTATGAATGAAGCAGGAATGACTCTGCATAAATGGATAGCGGATTCCACAAGTGTGCAAGATCTCAGTCAAAAAAATTAAGGCGTTAATAAATACATTGGTATGACTGTTTTGAAACCCAAGAAAATACTGGGAGTTCTTTTGTACCGCGAAGATGATGTGTACGGGTTTCACACCTCGTATAATATGCAGTTCGTAGCGGAAAGGAAGGCAACAAAAAAAAAGTGTTTTGAAGGTTTATGCACAGATTTACGACTCATATGACGTTCTGTCTGTATTCAAAGTGGGAGCCAACCTATTTTTTCAAGAGTTCGAAAAAAAAAACAGTTCAACCGGGATGACTATCTGCACGTTAAAACACTTGAAAAGCTGAAACACGGAAAGCCGAAACAACGCACTTGTGGACGACCACAAGCGCGCTGAAACACTTCGACACTTCGGAAAGCTGGTGCCAAGAACTTCGTCTCTTGAACATGATACTTATTCCACGAACAATCCCTAGGACAGAATCGTCGTGCACAACAACGTATCACGTTTTCTTTTTTCAGGTACCAGCGCACTGGCATGCGGAGCTGTGGTTTACGCTCGAACAAAGACGATGAGCGGTAGAGTAAATACAAGACTTACGGTCACTAAATCAAGACTCACACCACTCAAAGCTTTAACGCTTCCGAGATTAGAACAGCTGGAGCTCTGATGGTGGCAAGACTCATGCAAACAGTGCGGACAGGAACATCCACCTATCACGAAAATCACTTGTGATCTGACTCGACGGCTGTTTGTGGATAGATAAACTCAGGCCCTTATAAATGGGAAGCTTTTGTATCGAATAGGGTAAAGGACATACAAGCTCACATTTCTTTATATTCGTTCTTTATATTCTCAGTGGAGTTAGCTTCATAAGTTCATACGAGTGAGCAAAGCATGAAATAACGCAGTTCAACGTTGCGTTTACACCGTCAACTTCTTTTTGTCTGTCTTGTTTGTCGTCACATCTGAAACGGCAGCGTTATGAAAAACATTGAAATGAACCAACCAGTCCCAGTCATGCTTTTACTATGTGCAGAAGATTAAAAAATGAGCTTAAATAGTCGCACCCCTCAGCACCGCGTACCAAAGCTTAAGTTCAAAATGATTGCCTGGCAATCACAGGTTAGTGCGAATGGACAACAGGTGCTTGTCAGGCGTAGCGAATCGGCAGTTATATTCCACCACCAATCTTGATTTTGCAGATTAATTTCATGACAGTTGCAATGCTGCTTAGTTTTTAAGCTAGGACAGCAGTGTGTTGCCGTGCCTTTCTTTTGACATAGTGCTGCGTGTGTGAAGGGCACGTCTCACGCATGCTCCTCTTTTCTTCTTTTTTTTTTGATTTCTTCATACACCCTAAAATACATAAACAGTCGAAAATTTTCCTTCAAGTTTACTTAAATTTCACTCTCTTCCCACTTTCTTTGTTACACTGTGAATATTAGGTGTTTGTAAAACTCGTGTGACAGACTCCGAAGTGGCTGCGACATTTAACAATAGGAAACGAATGCCTTCTGTGAAAACTATCTGTCTCGTACTTATAGCAAAAAAAACTGTACGAACTTACCGAGTGAAAATATATCATTCCAAGGTTATGGACGATGTTTACCAAGCAAGCGAAAGCACTTGGAAAGTTGTTAAAACCTTGATATTTTAAGAAAGTGTCAACATTCTGATACAGGAGAAAAAGAGCAACCCAGTGTTTGTAAAACTGAACAAAGTTCACGAATATTCTGGTTACGATTGACGTTCTGAGATGAGAAGCCAGGCCGTCATCTGCTGCTACAAAAACCGACTGCGTGTTTTGTAATTCTATATTCTTCTCAGGTCAAGCAATGAAGACACTGCAGTTTATTGTTGTCATATGCTTGCTAGCAAGCGTATTGTGAGTATTTTTAGTGTGTTTGTAAACCGTACATGAATTTTTGAAACATAATCAGAAAATGCTTTACAATATAGCACGTATTTTTTAAAAGGCTGCCTAATCACTGTGTTCTGGTATATTGCGCGTTTTTAAATAGAAAATGAATCTTATTGTTATGAAGCACCCAGGGCCGTAGTTAGAAATTTTTGGAGGGTGGAGAGGGGGCCTAGTTGGAGGCTTTCAAAAACTCGTATTCTCATTGTCTATTCTCGGCGAAATGCCCCGCTTCATCATAACGACAGGGGGGGGGGGGAGGGGCCAGAAATAGTGACGACCAACAACCGAGCTATGTCAATCGATTTGCCTTGAGAAATGTGTCGTATTGTTAATGTTGATATGTGTATGATTGGTAACTACAGTAAGAGCATTACACGTATAACAAAACATGAAAACTGCAGCAGACCCAACTCGTACTTGTAATGGATGTTACATTATGCACTCTGCCAGGGGGCAGATACTGTGCAATCTTTACGTTGAAGTAGCTAGATTGTAGATACGACCCATTCTAAAAACGTAGGCTGTGCGTGGGACGTTACGCACAAGACGCTTATACTGCACTGTCGCCTAAAACAGGGTTTAGCGTTCAATGTAAGAACTAGAATATGCGTGTGAGTATGTGCTTATTTTTCATGAAGGAGCAATCAGCGCTCCGCCCCCCCCCTCCTATGTTGACGTGCATGTCATAGAAGTAGGAGCAGTGGAAACCAAAATGACGCAGTATTTGCAGCATGCTACAATTGCCGATGAATGCCACTTGTTCATCGGCTAGGGAACTGGCTTCGCTACTTGGCGTCGGACAGTCGAAATGAACACGACGAACCACAGTGTAATCCGTATTCGTTTTGTTCATGCCAGCTCTAAAGTGAGGTTGAATTTCACCTCAGCAACGGGTATAGGCAAGGCTATAGTTAGAGCTAGTTTATAAATACTGAAAAAGAGTCATAGGGTGCCTTACGCATTCACCAAAGCCCTAGGAGTTGACAGCCAACTGTCGTAGTTTTTTTCTGATGTACTATTGCGACGTCTTGATGTGTGCGGTGAGTTTTACGTGTAAGTATCACTAATAAAGTTTGAATATTTGAGTTTTTATATTTTATATGGGCTCTGAGCTTTTTATCATCGTACTACTAGTTTTAAGTGAATATTTACACTCATTAGCAATCTAATCACTTCATTTGTTTTTATCATCAGCCTATGTGCACGTTGATGCTGTAACTCGCGTCTATGTAGGGTTCACTCGCCAAGACAATGCTGATTTTCTCGATCGCCATGATTTCTTCGTTTGCTTTCCAAGCGGTCGACGCAGCGCCACCGATGCTTGCCTTGACTTCTGCTGCGATGTAGCACTGATAAAGGATCATCTTCCATATTGCACGGATTTCGCCTCATCTCAATAAAAGTGAACGCGCGTTCGGTTTGTCATTTTTGGAAAGATTTTGAGATGAAGCCGACTGTTCAGCCAAGGACCTCTTCACATAAGATCATTAGCTCCTTAAGAGCCTCCCATTTGGTTTAAATATTACCCAGGCATCGTCAATCGAGTAGAGAGAGCTGAGTTCCTCGCAGTGGCGTGTACCGTGGGCTTTGCCTGCCCCGAGTTTGCTGGCATTCGGCACTAATGGTACACAGAAACATGCGTCCTTTTACTAGTCTGGCTACAGTCCACGCACTCATGCCAGGTTCCTTTCAAGGGCGAAGCTCCTCAAGCTGTGGGTCGTGTGTCCACGACATATGTAAATGTAGTGGCAGTAGGTAGCCACTTTCACGGCCAGCCTAGAGGAAAGGCACGCACGTACTCTTTGAAATTGGGGAGGAAACCCATGCACTTTATTCATAAACAAAAACATAGTTGTTTCTGATGAAATGGTTTACAGATACGAGTATCGGTGACTTCATTTCAAATAAAATTTGCCTACAATTTGATGCCTACTAAAAAAACTAGTAACAGAAGGACGCACTTTGAGCACCATCTGACCAGAAAAGGCTGCCACATTAAACTCGATGGGCGTAACCTTCTTGGTTTTAGCAAGATATAGCAAGGGTTGGACCGCAGTGCCATGAACTAGCGGAGGTCAAAGGTGGGAAATATACACGAAGCGCAGGCCGTAAGAAAGTTCGTGCGTGCTGCTATTCTAGTCGGGCCGTGTCACCTTTTGTTTAGTCCTTGAAATTTCCGCTGGATGGTGGTACTTCTATATGATGAATATATGATGAAAAGATGCGAGATTGTGGTACTTGGAGGATTCACTAGATGGATGGACGAATGAACAGACGCACGAATTGACGGATAGACAGATGCATGAATACACGGATAGACGAACGCACAGACGGACGGACGGATGGACACACGAACTGACAGTCGCACGAACGGACGGTCGCACGAACGGACGGCCGCACATACCGACGGACGTAAGCAAATACAAATGGACGGACTGACGGATGCTTTATCCCACTTACTATCAGGCACTCTGTGGATATGCCGTGATATTTTGTTCGGCCCGTCTCCGCCCTAACACTGTTTTAAAACGATTGTCTTGATGCTATATACATCAACACAGATATTTTGGTCTCTCTGTCGGTTTGATTGTTTGAGGGTGTTTTCTACTCATGTCAGACGATTCCGGCGAAAGCTTGAGCACGTGCTCAACGCCTACCCATCTAAGATGCGGAGACCTCACATACGGAATTATTGGAATATGGAAGACGTATGATGCGGACTCCGCATAAGACGTATGATGCGGACTCCGCATCTTATGGAAAGACGTATCATGCGGAAATTACTGAAATGTGTGCATGTTACGTCTGAATCTAGTGCAAAGCAATATAATGTGTAAATTGAATAGACGTCCACATCTTGAGTACATGCAATACAGTGTACAAATCACAATATTTCTTAAATGTGCATGATGAGGGATTGAATCATCAGCATCTTACTAATTGTCGTGATGCGGACGCAAAATTACCTTTTAAATGAAATACATTACAAAACTACGAAATTAACATGCTAGCGATCATAAATGGTGGTTACATTGCAACACATTAATGCAGTGTTCTATGCAAGACTTAAAGAACTTATAAAGTTATTATTATCAATAGAGAAGCATTAATATACACATCAGCCCTGCTACAATCAATATGTTTTTTTATTTCTCTGTATGCTCCAGCTGTGAATAGTGACATTGCAGTGTTGATCGTACACAAATGAGGAGACTGCAATGCAATTTCACGAGCTCCACCTAAGCCACAGGATGGTGGCACAATGTAACAGCAATTTTAGAACGAAATGTTTAAACATAAATAATAATCATAGCACTTTGAAAGTGTGGCGCTGTGTTTATATCATGAATGCCTTGTGGAGATCGGCGAAATGCTGCTTGAGGCTCCGGCACCACTGTAAATTTCGAAGGTCACTGCGATCGAACTTATGTGTCCTTCATAGGCACCTGGAAATGAAAATAATTGGCACAAATAATGTCAGAGACACATGTTAGCACAATAGTTTACATGCACAAGAAATATAACACACAGAATGAAACTGAAAATTTAAGGCACACAATCCTTCATGTTATGCATATGTGAATAATAGAAGGAATGAGTGTATAAATTAGTTCTGCCACATCAAAAAAAACAGCATGCTTATCACAGTGAAAATAACTAGGTTGTCACGATTTTCAATGGTAGAGATAATCGATTATTATGTCCTTATGAAATTATGATTTAAATGCTTCCTGCACATTAAAACTTTAGAAACTGCAAGTGAAGGCTCTCAATGTTCATTTAATAGTGTGTGCATGTACATCTGCTGCCTTTATACTATACAGTTTGTGCACAAAATTGGCATCCTGAACAATTTTGAGAGTTAAACCTATGCAACTTGTGAAGGTTAAAATCACTATGAAAGCAAGCAGGACCAGGCAGGTGCCATTAAAAATCTGTGCAAGCCAGATAACTATAACCGAACTGCACACATATAGGGGAGCAAGAGTAACAGAAATTCGGCTGCTGACCCGCATATCGCGGTATCAAACCCCGGCTCCATTTCCGATGGAGGCAGAAATGCTGTAGGCACGTGTGCTCAGATTTGGGTGTACGTTAAAGAACCCCAAGTGGTCGAAGTTTCCAGTGCCCTCCACTACGGCGTCTCTCATAATCATATAGTGGTTTTCGGACGTGAAACCCCACATATAAATCAAGAATAACAGAAATAAACTGCCAACAGAAAAGTTGGGTGCATGTGCTATCTGTAAGTGCCTACACCTTACTACATACAGCATGCTCATTCCATTTTAAATACCGATATTGAAAATAACTGCTCTATTAGGAATGTAAAAGGTAAGGTAGAACTGAACGACTCTACAAAAAGTGACCCTATTATGACATCACGTTTTCTTATAACAAAATTGACTAAGACTCTCAAATATCATTATGCAAGAAAAAAGTCTTCAAAAGAACAATCAAGTTTGAAGTCATAATTATTTATATCGCTACTATGACTATAACCAAGAAATCTACCTCAACATGGCTAATGTTAGTCTTTAAGGCCTATGTTCACTAGACAATGAATTATACCACAAAAAGCACAGCGTTCAGGGAAAGTACTACACAAAAAAAGAAAGCAGTCCTTTTTGTTATTACCTACAATGCCTTTAAAATGGTATTTTTACCTCTACTTTCTGCTTTTTATCTAAGTAACTGGTGTGAAACAAGTTAGCTGAAAATGCACTGTGCCTCCAAAACCTGTTGGTTGAATCTGAATTTTTGAAAAATGGTGAAGCTTGCACTAAATTAGGCTCCACAAGCCTTGGAAGAGTGAGACTACATGACTCTTATGACTATTTTAGTTACTTGTGTTTTGTTTCTGGGCCTAAGCATAAAGACAAGGGCTTAACTGAATTGCTGCTAACAAACAAATGCTTTCGAAATTGCCCGAGCGTCAAAGGATGCTCAGCCATTTGTTGTTT